CTTGCCTACCAAAATCTGAGAATGTTCAAGTCACCACATAAAATGGCATAGTATTTGGATATAACCTACACATTTCTTCTCATATTCTTTAAATCATCTCCAGATCACTTATAATACCTAATACAGTGTAAATGCTATGTAAATGGTTGTTGTATTAAATTGTTTAGGGAATAATGATAAGAAAAAAAGTGTACTTTTTCAGTACAGATACAACCATCTTTTCTTAGCAAATATTTTTGATATGTGGTTGGTTGAGTCTGCATATGCAAAACTCACAAATAGGAAGGGACAACTATATATCTTTTTATTGAGAGGATAAGTTTTTAAATTATTGTTGGCCTAAAGATTTTAATTTTTTTAGTATTACTTACCTAACCAGACATTTAACTACATTGTCTAAGTTTTACAGATTATTCTTGTGGATTTTTCTAGTGTTATAACAGTATTATTGTCTGTGTTCTTTATTTTATTTCAGTTTCATGTCTTATTTTGTCCACTGATATTTCAGTTTCATGTCTTTGTACATTACCAAGGTTATCCAGAACAGTAGAAAATAATAATAATAACAGCAAGAACTCAGAGCTTATTTCTGATCTTAGTGGAAATTAAGCTTCGGTTTCCTCATCTGTAAACTGAGAAAGTTGGACTAGATGACCCCTAAGTTTTTTTCTGAGTATTAATTCTATGCTCTAAGTTCTAAAAGTACATGACATGCCTGTATTTCCCTCCCCAAAAGTGGTATGGTGCCCGGTCATTTTGTAACTATTTGAATGGTAACGTTTCTTTTCTCCCAAACTAAAATCACACTGGGATATAAAGATATCACACATGATATAAAGATAAATAAGCCATACTCTGTGTGAATCTATTAATATATTTCATGTTTAATCATATATAACTCTTCTGTATCCCTCCCTCCACAATTTTTTTGTAAATCCCTTGTTAGCTGGTCTGATTTAGCTTTGTTTTCCTTATTCCTTTCACTCAAAAAGCGTTAGCACTTACAATAGTGCAGGGTAGTGTCTTGCCTGTCAGAGGCCATCAGTCACTGTTGAGTGTATGAATTCCAGCCCTCTACTCCCTAATTTCACCAATAAGGACATTAAGACTTAAGTGACTAACCCAAGGTCACACAAACAATTAGCCACAGAGCCAGGACTAGAATTTAGGCATTTGGTAAAGCCAGAGCAGACACGGCCTTAAGAAGGGATGATGAGGCTTTCATTTATCTGAGAATTTAGCAGCTCCCTGTAAACACAAAGCAAAATGAAGGAAACAAAATTTGATTCTTCCATATTATGGTAGAAGCCAATGGAAGTACTCTAAATTTATTCAAATTCTTAGAGCTTAAAATAATCTGTAGACAGAATGGATAACCTTTGTGTTTGGGAAAAGAAAATTCAGAAGAGTCACAGTGGAACAATCAGACCTATCTTTTACAACAGCAGAGAAAAGGAGACAAATGTTCAGAGCTGGCATAATCAGACTGCTTAGTGTTTTCTGCCTGAATGCTCAAAGAGCAGGGCTTGTGATTCCACCCATTCTGAGGCAAAACAAGCAACATGAAAATGAGCTCCTATTGCTTTGGAAAGAACATTCAAAAGCTAATTCTTTGGAAGAACAATGGCCACATTTCTTAACATGATGTATTTTTTTAAAAACTGGTTATGTCTCAGCACAACAGATAAACAAACTGACAGTGTAGAAACACCCTACCAAAATTAATGTCCTTCCCTTACCTGGAATTGTTAACCATTGAAAAGTAAATTCTGCATGTGTGTCCTCAAGTGACACATGAAACTCATTTGTTTCATACCTATTCAAAAGCCTAATGGAAGCTTTCATAGAAGGCCTTCATCACTCCACACAGAAATACCTAGGAGTTATCTCTTTCTATGTCTCAGTCCTTAGGACTGAGCAGCTTGAAATTCCTCAGAACACTTTTTCCCCTGAGTTAAGGTCAAAATCTCTGTTCTTATTTGGCAAGAGAAAAGCCCACATTTATCTTCATCGATACTTTGCCTTAACAACAACTACAGAACTCAGGACTCTTTTTTTCTCTTAACTTCTTCACTGATTAATAAATCATACACAGCTTAGGAATAGAGGAAGAACGCTGAGCCAGCTCTCAAAAGACTTGGGTTTGGATCGTGGTTCGGCCCCTAACTAGCTCCATAATCCTGAACAAATCATCTCCTCATTTGTGAAAGAAGTTCAGCAATAGCTACTTCATAAAATTGCTGGGAGACATAAATGAGATAAAGTGTGTGAAACTACCTCATATAAAACACACAATGCTAAAAGAAAGAGACAGACAGATGATTTTTCGAGACACCATATTTTGTGTACATTATAGAACATCAGTAATTTTGAAAATTATGAGAAAGTAGTTTTTAAACAATAAAGTATGCTAATATCAAACACACACACATAAACATAAAAAAAATACAACCATAAAATGCTATCTAAAGGTAAGCTGATATTATTTGGAGCATAAAGGAATTCAAAAATCAGTTATTTTAATCTCATCACTTTATAGAGCAGCACATATTTGAAAGGCAAACGAAGGCACGGAGAAGCCATGTATTTTCTCTAAGATCACACAACTACCAGTGGCAGTGCCAAGACCAGAAACTAGGTTTGAACTATTACAAATAGGTTTTCTGCCTTCCACTGCACCTTGGAAGTATCATTAAAAGAATCCTAACCTGGGAATCTAGATTTGGTCTCTAACAAAAATGAATCTTTCAAATCATTAAATGAAAATGCCAATGCACTTCAAAGAAAGAATGCATACAGAATATACTTCCTTCATGAGGACATATGAAACTGCACATGTGCAGATGGTAAGCCACAAGGTACATTTATTATTCATTTAGGACATAAAAGGAAAGCTATAAAAGCTGACCATAGCTCTTCTGGCAAAGACCAGGATTTACTACAGACTTTATAATTGGATACAAGCATGAGAGGTCCTCAGAATCTAAGATGAGCCAGTAGGATACAGTTTAAATAGAGCACACTCTGATCGTGGCTCCAGAGGGCCCAGAGCAATTTGTGGTGCTGTGGCCACATGCCACCACTTCAACTCAATTTCCCACAACTTGACATTTCAGTTTTCTGACTGCTATCCAAAACAAGGGCGGATTTTGGGCATTGAACATCCTTTACTTCATCATAGCTAGGTTTTTGGAAAGAGAGAAAAAAAACACTCATAAAAATTAGTGGGGATTTAGAGTTGGTGATTTTGTGTATTGTTAAAGTGCTGATGATGAGAAGTGTCAAACAACCAAGTCTCCTCTTGGTTCCAATGTCTCTGGGGCTGTCTGGTTGAGTCTTGACAGGAATAGAATCAAAAATGTCTCAGGTATGGGCTCTATGGCCAAGTTCCAAGCCTCATCAAACACATACACACACATACATATGCATACATATATACATATCTACATACGAGGTTAGACAATTAAGTTTGCGAACTTGTCCTAGAAAAAGTGCTAGATACCTCATTGCTGAATATCACTATGGTCACCTTCAAAGTACTCCCGTTGGCCATCTGATCATGCAGCACTTTCTCTAGGATGAGATGAGTTCGCAAACTTAATTGTCCAACTTCATACATAATGTATATACATAGAGGTAAATATGTATGTAGAGAGAGACAGACCAAAAAAGAGACCACTTTAGCTCAGATTGTAGAACCAAATCTAGAAATAACAGATCAAATTGTAATGGAAATTATGAATTATACTTCTTATCTAACAGTGGACCACACTTCATCTATTTCTATAGATACTTGTTTATGATACATATACAAATGAACAAATATTCATTAAGCTTGTACAATGTGTCAGGCATTTTTCTACAGGTATTTATTCATTCGTAACACAATCCTATAAAGTAGAACTATTATTTTCTTCATTTTTAAAATAAATGAACTGAGGTACTAGAAGGTGAAGAAATGTCTTGCCCAAGGTTATGGAGATGCTAAGACCCGAATCCAGATATCCAGAGCCAGACTAGTGGCACAGAAGCACTATCTCTATACATCTCTCCAAATATTCTTCCTTTTTTTTTTAATCCCAAATAAGCCCAATTCTAATTGATCAGATTGCATGAGATTATACTGAAGTCCATGTATCCCCACCCCCAAAATTTTTTTTCTAAGAAACTGAATCAAATCAAGAAGAAAATAAAATGCATTTATTGTAATTTGAAAACATAAAAGTTAAACAGATTAAACAGCTTAGTTGCTTCATTTATAACAGATGTAGCAGACCATAAGCAGTCAGAACAAGATATCTATCTCACTTATAATCTTAAAACAAACAGAAATGATTGTGTGGAACAAAGATTCTTGATGAAGTGGCTTCATTAAAGTGTAAACTCTCATCTTACCTCACATATAATGAGATGGGTACAACTGTATTGAGAATAATAATATAGGACCAGAATGTTAAGAATCCCGAGAACACAAAGTTCTTCTCTCCTTCATTCAAAAAGAGGAAAGTTCTGAACTGCTCCCCAACTTGATTCTCCCAGATTGAATTTCCTACTGCAAGAATAATTCCCAGGCATACCAGAAACCCAAAAATCTGAAAAAAGAATAGAAGACTGGTTAAGGTTAACTTGACCCCCAAACTAGTCATATCAACATGATCTAATTATACTTCTAACTTCAAGAAATTGTCATTTGAAAAGCAAGTTATGTAAACATCTTCTTACCATTAATTATATGACTAAAATTTAACCTTTTTATGTTTGGAACGCAGCTGAATAATGTATATACATTTTCTCACTTAATTCTCCCATTGAATCTCTGAAGTAGGAATAATCATTTTCATCACTTTAAAGATTAAAAACAAAAAATGAAACAGAAACATGAAAGGACAATATAACTTGTCTATGGTCATATAGCTAACAACTTCACATCCTCAATTTGTGTGAAGTACACACACTTAAGTGGTTTAATTAAAGAAAATCATATGCCCTGATTTGTGTTGGACAGCTTTCTTTTACAATTATTATCCATGTGTAATATTAATAATTTTCCATTCATCCTCAAAGATATAATGTTTGGCTGATAAATTATATGATCCCCTCAGGCATAAAAGCAAAAAGAAGGAAATATCAGTGATAACTCTTCCAGATGAGCTAAGTCTCTTGGCTTTATAGATATGGCTGCAAAATTCTTAGCTGAAGTCAACAAGAAATATAAAGATTAAGTAAAGCACTTTATGACATATATACTTTCCTTTTGAGATTAAAAAAATAGGAAGCAACCTGAAAACTGTTAGCAGACCCTTATATTATTATTAGAATCAGTACTAGAAAAACACATTTTGTAGGTATAACAACTAGGGAGACAAAAAGGTCAATCTGTTTTGAGTCCAAAATTACAGCCTCAGAAAGCAAGGATACAAAGTCTGAGGATGTGGTAAGTAAGACCTGAGGCGGGGTGTTATGGAGATGTTGCTCCACTATGTGTCACACATGATAAGAGCTGAGACCATTGTTGAGGGAGGAGTGGAGCTAGAGAACAGGAATGCATTTCCCTCTGTTTCCTTTTTCTTCAAGAAAGAATAATCAGAAGTTCAAGTTCAAGACCAACCTAAACAAAAGTGAGATCTTGACTCCACAGAAAAACTAGCCGGGCATCCTAGCATGTACCTGTAGTCCCAACTACTCAGGAGACAGACAAGAAGATCACTGGAGCCAGGAGTTTTAGGTAGCTGTGAGCTACAATGATGCCACTGCACTCTGCCCAGGGTGACAGAAAGATACTCTGTCTCAAAATATACTTATATATAAAAGTTCTAAGACTGCTTTCTTCTTTATTCTCTCATGAATAACAGGAATATAAGAAGACAATGACAGAAAAAACCTGAGTTAAAGTATATTAGAAAACCATGTATTAGAGAAAAATAGAACTCTGAAGCCCCAAACCTTACCAATTCAGCACCCATATCACAAAGTTCTCTTTTCTCTCAATGTCTGAGACTACAAACTAATTGCACTGAATTACTTTAAGAGCATTAAAATTGGTAATACTTGACATCAAATGCCCTAATTTAAGGATGACTTTTGCTTCTAACTCCCCAATGGATTGTCCTGTTGTCAAGTACAAAAAGCTGGGCCAGTCCCTACTTCCTGATCAGTGATTTCACTCTGTGGTGGGCAGACAGGCAATCCACATGCCAGCCCTGAGAGTGGGATCAAGGGGTCGAGGGTATTTACACTAAGGACTGTAGGAGAGGGCACAAGCTCTTGATGGGCACATCCTTTTAGCCTCATGGATTCTGTACCAAAGAGACTGGTATAACTGGAGGAAAGCCCACCCTCCTAACCAGTGAAGGGTAGTTTGGAAAGTGAAACACAGAGCCTGGCCAATATTCCGTGCCCAGCAGATGTTACTTTCCTTCTTATTCAGAGTCCAACTATCACATGTCAGTTCAGCAAATACATACTGAGCTCAGGTTCTTTATGATCGTGGTTCTGTGATGAGGCTCATGGGGGAACATGGTTCAAAGTCACTGTCCTTATATTCCAAACTCACTGTCTTCAAACTTAACACCTACAGACAAGAGCCTACATGTCTCATCCAGAGATATTGCACAAGGAGTCAGATAACAATCTAAAGGAAGGAGCAGAAGGAATATCTGAATATCTTGGTAAATGATGGTAGAGAAGGTCATCATTTTTCAAAATTCAAAAGTGAAAGAAAATTTATATGAGGAATATAACTATGAACTAAAGAAGTTTGAAAGCCTTGATGAAGGAAAAGAACCGTAACTTGGGCTTCAGAAGATTCATGAGCAGAGCCAGCTGCATCAGTTGCAGGGTTCAGTGCAAAGTGAAAATGCAGGACCTCTTGTTAGAAAATTATTAAGAATTTGTAGACAGCAAAAGCAGATGTGTAAACCAAGCATAAAGCTCTTCTGAGTATGGATCCCTATGTGGCTACATAAGTTCTACACCCATGAAGCCAGCCCTGTCCATAGCTGCATAGAGAAGACTTCAGCAGGAGTAAGACAACAATAATATAATAAAACCATGTTTTGTTTTTCAATCCTTGGGACTACAGGGAATTTGGAAGACAATGAAGACCTCTATAAACACTAACCTGCCTCTCATAATAATTCTACCACTGGCAGGGAGGTCACCATAATCTAGAAAATAGAGGGCTGGGCAGTGCCGGTGGCTCAAAGGAGTAGGGTGCTGGCCCCATATGCCAGAGGTGGCAGGTTCAAACCCACCCCTAGCCAAAAACTGCAAACAAACAAACAAACAAACAAAAATAGAGGGCAGTGTAACTGAACCCCAAATGCACAACCCCCAAATACAAACTCCACAAGGAGAACATGGGCTTCTAAAAGAATTTCCAGCAAAATACAAGAAATATATTGAAATAACAATGACTAGTGATATTACCTAACTTCTTAACTTACCCATAGCACTAGAGTATTCATCAATCTATCAATGCTTGTCCTTTTAAACTTTGTCTTACCACTGTTCTGCATTAGTTTAGTATCAGGACCTGCAAAAAAAAAAAAAAAAAAGTAAATTACAACTTTGAAATTATTAGATTATGTATTATTGTTATCAATTCCTACTCCTATCAAATGCTTCTGAAAGAAAAAAATATGTTTCAGAAATAACTTTCATTAAGAGCAAAAAGTTACATTTGATTCTCAACTAGCAGTTTAACAACAATCCTGGAAACCACAAGAGAACTAGTCTCCTTATAACAGGATAAATCAAAGAAAGAAATTGTAGCTGACAGGTTTAAGAGAAGCCAGTCTTCAAAAGTCTATGCATGAATGTGCCCTAATTTAAAGCAGTTAAAGACAAGGAAGTCAATAAAAGTGAGGAATAACTTGGAAATATTACAAAGAATGCAGTAACATAAACAATTCAGTGCACCAAGGTCAAAAATAGGAAGATAAGAAATCACATTCTAGACCTGTTTCCCAAAAAGTTTTGTTGTATCTTTAATGGAGAAACTAACTCCAAAAAACACATTAGCAAGTAATTTAAACTTTTACTATGCATTGCATATATATATAAATAATCTGTGCTTTTTTAAGGGCAAAAATTGTCTTCAATTTTGTGTTAGATTTATTAGGTAACGCATTATCTCGTGCCTTGTTCAAGGAATTCTAAGAGGATTATAACTGCTTTACAGGGCATTATTAGATGATTAACAAAGCAGAATATTAAAATAGATTGTGAAGAAAATTCCTATGGATTGAGAGAATGCTAAATAGAAGCAATAAAGTTTTAATTAAAACTAACTTCAGAGTTCCCTCTCCACGCAATCTTCCTATAATCATTAATCCATATGGCTATTCAATATAGGAGGAAAGGTGAAAGGAAAGAAAGGAGAAAAAAGAGACACACATAAACTCATATACCATTCTAGAAGTCAGGGAGGGATATGCAAAACCTTAAAATACAAATGAAGCAAAGATTGGGGTCTCATAACAATTCATTGTCTTGAGTTGTAAACTGCACCCCAGTGTCCTATTTCTAACTACCGCTGCGTGAAGACCACCCACATTTTCTCAGAATCATTTATTAAAATCATATGGACATACAGAGTGGAAAAATATTTTTTATAGTAAAGATCACAAAGACCAAATAAAGTTTGTAATTATTAAAAACTGAAATATTAATGAGACTTCATTAAGCTGAAAAACTTCTGCACAGCAGAGAACACAACAATCAAAGCAAATAGATAACCTTCAGAATGGGAAAAGATATTTGCAGGGTATGAATCTGACAAAGGGTTGATGACTAGAATCTACAGAGAACTCATATTAATCAACAGAAAAAGAGTAAACAATCCCATCTACCACTGGGTAAGAAATATGAGCAGAACCTTCTCTGTTGATGACAGACAAATATGGTTAACAAACGTGAAAAAATGCTCATGTTCCCTGATCATCAGAGAAATGCAAATCAAACCCCCTTGAGATATCACCTAAACTCAATGAGAATAGCCCACATCACAAAAATCTCAAAGCTTCAGATGCCAGCATGGATGTGGAGAGAAGGGAATACTTTTACACTGCTGGTGGGTCTGCAAACTAATACAGCCATTTGGGAAGGAAGTATGGAGAATCCTCAAAGAACTCAAATTAGACCTCCCATTTGATCCTGCAATCCCATTACTATGCTTATACCCAGAAGGAAAAAAATCCTTTTACCATGAGGATACTTGCACTAGACTATTTATTGCAGCTCAATTTACAGTCACCAAAATGTGGAAACAGCCTAAATGCCCACCAACTCAGGAATGGATTAACAAGCTGTGGTATATGTATACCATGGAATACTACACAGCCACTAAAAAAGATGGACACTTTACATCTTAAGTATTAATCTCGATGGATTTGAAACACATTCTTCTTAGTAAAGAATGAAGAAGCAAAAATCCAATGTACCAATTCTAATATGAAGGCAGTAGATTATCTAATACAAGGTGGGGGATAGGTGAAGGAGGGAGCAGGTAGAGGGGAGGAGAGAGAGGACTAGGGGTCACAGTGTATGGCACACTTCTTGGGGCGGGACACAAGAAGGGACTTTACCTAACAAAAGCAATCAGTGTAACCTAATTCTTTGTAGTCTCAATGAATCCCAAACAATAAAAATAAATAAATAAATAAATAAATGACTGAAATATTGACAGACCAGTTTGATGCTAAAATTTATATTTCTCAGGCATCCAAACACACATATACTAACAAAGAATTCACTTTAGGGGTCGTTAAGCACTTACTTAAATGTATCCAGAGATGTTTATATACACATCTCTACTTCCCCTCGTGGTCAAAGATCTTTAAAGAATTTTCTATACTCGACACCCCTGAGTCCTCATCTCCCTCTAATTACTCAACCTAGTTTCTGGGCCAGTCACTACACCAAAACAGATCTGGCGTTATCATCAATATCCATCACCTTTTGGCCTCTCAGCAGCCTTTGATGCTATTGACTATTCCATCCTTTGGTAACGCACTCTTCCCTTAGCTTCTGTGTTACAGTATTCTCCTGCTTTCCTCCTACCTCTTTGGTAGTCCCTTCTCTGTCTTCACAACGCTCACCCTCTCTACCCAACCAATAAACACCAAGATTCCTTAAGACTTAGGCAGAGGTCACCTTCTTTTCTCACTCAATCCACCTTCCCTGGACAATCTTATCAAAGACCATAGCTTTAAGACCATTAACTTTAATAACAGAGACCAAATGTAAATATCTATCTCATACTGCTCCTCTGTGCTCTAAATCCATATATTTAAATCTATGTATTTAGTTGCCTATATGTTATCTCCGCCTGGGTCTAACATGCCTCAAATCACCCTTGACCAGTCTAGTTTGTGACCTTCCTCCAAAATTCTTAACTCAGAAAATGGCACTACCCTCCATCCAGTTGTGAAAGTGGGAGAAACCTAAGAGTCCTAGTTGATGCTCTCTCATCTTCATCTGGTCAAGCTTGTCAATTCAACCTTCCGAAAAGTTTCTGAATTTGCCTCTCTCCATTTTCATAATCCCCTCCCTAATCCAAAGCACCATCCTCTCTCAACTATGAATGCCTAGTAACTTTGTCTCTCTGCATCCACTCTGCCCCCATAACTAATCAATATATTTCTCCTCCTCCACCCCAATCATGCACTCTTTCCAGAAGCATTACAAACACTTTGAGCAAGAGCGAACCTTTAGAATTTAACACATATACACCCCACCAGTTTTTAAATGTCTCCCCTAAGCTCTTAGGATAAAGACCAAAATTCTGGATACAGATCACAAGGTCCATCCAGCTCATCATCCATGTCTACAGTCACATATCCATCCTACACTCTGTGCTCCATGCCCCACATGAGCTTTCTCTTGTGACCTCACTCTCCTCACTCCTACCATAGGACTTTGGCCCATGATATGCCTTGGCTTTAGGTTATTATTTCTCTCTCTCTTTCTCTTTCTCTCTCTCTCTCTTACCATGCTAAAAACCACATGAGTCCAAGTGTTGCAATTATTCTGTTCATATTCTTAATCCCCAGTGAGTAAGTAGCACAATGCCCAGCATATACTAGGAACTTAATAAGTAATTTTAGTAAACTCATAAATCTATCAAACATCTGTTATTTTTTAGGCAATGTGCTTTTAATTTATTATCTCATCTAAAGCTTACAAGAAGCTAATGCATTAGGTACTATTATCCTCAGATCACTAATAATGAAACTGAGGCTTAAAGAATTTAACTTGCACAATTCCTCTACTAGGTATATATCCAGAAGACCAAAAATTACTTTATAACAAAGATATTTGTACCAGAATGTTTATTGCAGCCCAATTCATAATTGCTAAGTCACAGAAGAAGCCCAAGTATCCATCAACCCATGAATAGATTAATAAATTGTGGTATATGTGGAATATACCACAGAATATTATGCAGCTTTAAAGAAAGATAGAGACATTACCTCTTACATGTTTACATGGATGGAGCTGGAACATATTCTTCTTAGCAAAGTATCTCAAGAATGGAAGAAAAAGTATCCAATGTACTCAGCCCTACTATGAAACCAATTTATAGCTTTCTTATGAAAGCTATAACCCAATTATAGCCCAAGAAGAAGGGGACAGGGGAGAGGGAGAAGAGGAGAAGGGGGAGGATTGGTAGAGGGAGAGTAATGGTGGGACCACACCTATAGTGCATCTTACAAGGGTACATGTGAAATTTACTAGGTGTAGAATATAAATGTCTAAACACAATAACTAAGAAAATGTCGTGAAAGCTGTGTTAACAAGTTTGATAAAAATATTTCAAATTGTATATAAAACCAACACATTGTAACTCATGATTGCATTAATGTACACAACTATGATTTAATAAAAAAAAAGAGAGAGAGAGAGAGAGAATTTAACTTGCTTAAGATTTTTCATCTAGCAAGTGCCAGAGCCAGAATTTGAATCTTAATCTAACTCTAAAGATCTTATTCTTAACTACTATTTTTTAAATCCAGGTGAATGTACAGTCAACCCATGTATATTTAGGACTATGTCTTATTCAGGAACCTAAGAGGAAACAGATGACATGTTGAGCAAAGATAATTAGAAGAGGGTTATTTATAAAGAATCTCTGTACAAATGTGTGCATTATAAGGGAAGCAAAAGATCAATGCAGTAACCAAGAGCTCAGTAGCAGCAATCAAGCTGCTTTTCCACCTAAGCCAGAAGGGATGAGGTCGGGGAGGGGTTACTGGAGAAACAGGGCTATAGAGTTTACAGCCTTGTGATGAGAGACCCAGACAGCCTGAATTGACCACACAGGAAGGTGGCCTAGGAAGTGAACACCTTGAGTTCACCTTCTTTCTCACTTTGATCTCTCCCCAGGAATCCCCAAGACAAAACTTTCACCAGAAGCCAAGTTCAAGGAAATCTATCAGAATAAACCACCTAAACAAGGAAGACTCCTGGGGCAGAGAGAGACGTGGAAAGGTGGAGAGAAAAACTGAAGAAGCAAATCAAAGGCATCCAGCACAAAAACCTACTGTGTACCAACAGGGCGCTGACTCCTACAGTTCTTTAAGTGAATGAGATTCTTGCACTCAGAAATAAGACTTTCTCTTCTCCTGGGTAGAAAAGAAAAGGCATTACCAGACCTAACTGTGAATGTATATTAGACTGTCATAAATTATAGGTTTATAAAGTAAACCACGTCTGTATCAATTATATTCCTTGCACAATTCTTAATGGTAGGTATAACTAGAGTAATAATACAGCAATTATTATTAGAGTTAATAATTCTTATCAGATATTTTTCATAAGATTGAGGTGCTCCCCTGGAACTACAGGGTGTCCCCAAAGTCACCACACATAGGGGAAAAGGGAAATTGTAACCAAATGTAACTTTATTTGCAAAATATTCATTAAAAAGGAAATTATAACCAAATGTACCTTTATTTGCAAAATATTCAATATTTTTTATAAATATTTTATAAAATTTTGTAATGAATATTTTGCAAATAAGTTACATTTGGCTATCATTTCTCATTTTCCCTATGCATGATGATTTGGGGGACCCCTTGTAGTTCTCCAACTAAATGACTCAAGACTTAGCAGTTCTAAGTTCAACTGTTCAACAGATGAACATTCATCTGTTCAACTCTGGCATCAATGCCCAATCATTCATTCTTCTACTTGCCATTGTTGTAGGTAAGCTTTCTATTAACATTTGTGGCCAAACCAAAGTCAAGGCCAGTATGTTCTGCTCTACAAATAGCCTCTTGATAAAGGTCCCCTGCAAGTGAAGCTCCCAGCTACAACACAAAAGAAGAGGATGCTTTCCTCTCCCCAATGCCAAGTTCCAGAGAGCAGTGGAGCAGGCAGCATGCTCTGAATTGAATGTGAAAGAAGCAGCAGGAAAAAAAAGAGAAAAATGACATTTGTTCATTTTGACAATGACAATCTCTGTCATGTGCACGATCTCACTGAGTCTTTACCATGACTCTAAGGTACTCAGTATGATCCCCACGTTACAAGAGCAGAAACTAAAGCTCAGGAAGGTTAAGTAACCAAGGCTTATAGTCCTGCAGCTGGTAAACCAATCTGAACCCAGATCTGCCTGACCCAAATTCAGTGAACTTTCTGTTACACTCCCTTGGAGGGTGACCTGCTCAACTCACCACCCACTTCCCTGTACGTAAGAAAACTTTCCCACAGAGACAAGCTTATGAAAGAGAACTTGTCCCCTCAGAGGCTCACAACAGCTGTCTTAGCATGACATGCAGTAGCTGAACTGGAGTCCTGACTTAGTCATTCCAAACAAGATCTTACACATGCAAACAAATCTTGGGCTATGGCCCATCCCAAGGATGAAGTACCCCCATTTCTGTGGTGACACGGAGCAAATCAAGAGGGTATTTCCCATTAGAAGACCTTTGAAAGTTTCCTCATCTTTAACCAGGAAGGTAAAGGGAGGTTTATGGATAAGCCTAGTTCTCTTTTTCTGTGTGGCAGAAAGACACAGATAAGGAAATGTATAATAATAGGTTTATTTCCCTGGCTGAAAAATAAAAGCATCCGATGGGAGAATCATGAAGCCAGATTCATCCCCAAGTAAAAGCACATACAGTGCCTCATTTCTAGGGATTTCCCAAGTCCTTGCAATGGCAACGCCCCAAGTAGCAAGAGCCTTACTAACACCCACAGCTGAGAGTATTTAAGAGAAATTGGGAAGACTTTTCTAGGTTTGGAACACTTTTGAGTCTTTAATGAACATTTTGTTGTTATTGAGGAAAGTCAGTTAAGAAAAACATTCCGATTTTGATTGCTCATATAGTCAACGGGCCCAAAACACATATTAATTTGGTGTCACAATAAACAGAATTTTTAAAATCAAGGGCTGGCAATTGAAGCAAGAGTACAATTTGAGTAGCTTTACGAAATGGCGCTACTGTCAGCTTCCTTAGGAAGAGAAATGCCACCTTGAGCCCACAAAGATAAAGCAGACCAAGGAAATAGGGTGGGCAAGAGGAGTGAGAGACAACTCCCACTGTCCCATCCCACCTCCATCATGCATAGGCTTTCCAGAACCCACTCTCCTGTTTACAAATAGTAAAATGAGCTATGGGATATAAACAGAAATGATTGTCAGATCTCTCAGAAGGCTTTTCCAAGAGGGATGCTTGCCCTCCACAAACTACAAAATTAGCAGCAGAGAGGGGGCTTGTTTTCATACCCTTGTCCACTTTAAAGGCCGACTGATGAATACATAAAATGACAGAGATGACTGGCATGGAGTGAACACAGAGAAATCAAGCAGTAGGTATCTAGTACTGTGGGATCTGGGCAATTAAGGTCCTAGCACCTTTACAAACAATGGCAATGGTTCCTCACACAGTGGGGCCACCTGGACTATTTTCAGAGCAATAGTATATTCCCCTGGTGTCCTGCAGGGACTGCAGTCAACTCCAGAGCAGTACTTTGCATGGAATAAAGGCATCGTGCTCCTCAGAACTTGGAGAACCTTAGACTTAGATCTGGCCCTGAGCCATCAGTGGTACCTGCAAAAATAACCAGTCCGAAACACCAGCTGGTGTTCCTCAGGACGCAGCCTCTCAGGATTATCTTCTCATTGCTGAGGGAGTATTTGCTGCCCTTCCACGAGAGGACTCCTGTGAATTTATCTAACTTGTTGTTAGGTGCCTCACAGACAACAATCCCTGGAAAATAAAAAAAAAACAAACCTCTTTATGACTCGCTCCAAACTTTTTACCCCCTACTTCTCATACACAGTACATTTTCTTTTCTTTTAGATAGGGTGTTACACACACAGGATTCCACTAGGAACAATAGGCTGGGAAGGGCAAAGATGGAATCTGTCAAATATTCTGAAACATAGCTTTCTCGATTAGCCAAACAGGAAGAGAAACCTCAAGAGATCTGAGATCGTTTTTCCTTTAAAAAAAAAAAATTGCTTATTTTCACTTCTACTTTGTAACAAATAATTTTTTTACAGATAGAGAAGTGACTGTGCTAAAAGTTTCTCTTATTTCATCTTTTAACTGACGATGAACTTTTACACAGGTTCAGATGGCATAGTTCCCATTTCACAACCAAAGTTAATCATCTTTCTAAGCTCATAATCAGAATTTCAGAGGTCTCACTATATTCCACCCCAGAGAAACCTGGGCCTGGTTTGCCACATGTGTTTGAAAATGCGTGTGATTCCTTTCAGCTGTTCTATGCTTCTTATCTTGATTAGATTCAGAGTTCTGGGGACTCTCAAAGGCACCATATAACTTGCCCCAAACTGGCCAGAAGATGTTTCTAGTTTCTTTAATTCCAAGCCCATTCCAAACCGAGGGCATGCCCATTCCAAGTCAATGAATCAATTCGTTCCATTATTACAATAAGAAAATATACATTCAGGGTGGGAGTTCTCTAGATAGAAAAAGAAACCAGAAATAATCCTTTATGGACCCTGTCACAAAACATAATCATTAGATTAATATACATTTCCATTGCAAACAGGTGAGGTTAAATTTTTAGAAGTAATGGGTTGGGGAGGAAAGAGGAAGGGAGGGGAGGAAGGAAAAGGTGGAAGGAATGAAAAAGAAGGCTGTAGTTAGATCCAATCTGGGTTCAGGCCAGAGTCAGGGGTGAAATTAGTCCCTACAAGGTCCTTTCTCTCAAAAATAATAAAAAGACATTTGTTTAATCAAAAGTCAAAAGGCCAGTTGGAACATAAAATGTATGTAACATATGGAAAATAAAAAGGGGAGCATATCTTCAGCATTGATTGAAAGGAGAGAGGATCAGATGACCCTAGAGAATCTCTGTACTATGCTGATTCCATCTGCTCTTTCTCTGAACTTAAAGAGGCTTTTTTTATTAGGTTCCCTTCTTTCCTAGAATGCTATGTTTTCCACTTAGAAGTCTTAGATATAGGGCCAGGAGCAATGGCTCATGCCTGTAATCCCAGCACTTCACCAGGCCCAGGGGGAAGGATTACTTGAGGCTAGGAGTTTGGGCAACATAGTAAGACCCTATCTCAGAAAAAAATCTTACCAACCAGATTACTAACTTTAGTAAGTTTTGCACTAAAAAGCAAAAAGTGAATCCTGAAAGGAATGTAGGACTCAGAGCCTCAGGACTGCTTTTCCACCCTCTGCCTGCCTTGTTCCAATGTAACAAAAGGATGCCTAAAGACTCCCCCCACTTGGGCAGTCACTGGCGGCTTCCCAGACATCCATTGCTAAAAGAGTGCTGGCAGGAGGATTTGGTTAAGAAAAACAACCTTACTAAGGGAAGCAGCTGAATTCTAGTTAGCTCCTATTGCCTATCACTGATATTAAAAAGTAAATTAAAACTGATTTAAACTGGGTCAAGTTGTTTTGGTAAGTACATTGTAGAGGAGACTTTTTGTAAATTCCCAGAAGTCGATACCTTTTTTCTTAACTACTAATTTTAGTCCTCAATTATAGAACTTTGGATTGAGCATCACCAGCAAAACCTACATTAAAATAACAGGTTGACAGCGACTATTAAAGTTTATTCCAGCTTTCTTGACCCAAGACTCAATTTCTCAGGCTTCAAACTTGGATACTAAAAAAAAAAAAAAGAAAAATGAAAGAAAGAAAGTAAAGGAAGGAAGAAAGAAAATGTGCTTTGGGCAAAAACAACATGATACATAATCCCTGCCAATAGGAATATAAAAAACAGGCTAATGTGATCATTTTTATTGTTGCAAGCAAAGACGGACATGGAGGCAAATACAGCCTTGGATGTGGTGGCTCCCTCCTCCCTGGCCCCAAGGCTTATCCACTTCTGGCCTCACACCAAGGGTGTGGCTCTAGACAGGAACAGGCAGCAGGGCCAAGGGGTTCTGCCTGAGTTCTTGAAGGCCAAACCCCAATTCAGCCCTTCTCGAAGAGTGTGGTCCCAGTGATGTAAGTACTAATACAGGACCCAGTCAAAACAAAATGGTGGGAACAAAGCCAAAATACATTCTTTTTAATCATCAGAAGTGCTCAGCTTCCCCTTTCTTAGCCTTGTTAGCATAAAACATAAACTTCCCAGTTTCTTTTCCACCTTTTTCCAAAAGGGGTAAAAAGGATTCCTTCGACCAGAACATTGTATTCACCTCTTATAACCTATTATACTGTCTTTATAGTAGGATCTTAATAAATATTTGTTGAAGAGATTGAAAAAAAATCACATGATTTCGAGAGAGAGGTTGAGAGGGAGATCAGCATTAGAGCAGATCTAAGATGAATGGGAAAGTGAATATATTTCTATGGTAGTAAGGATAAAGGGGATTAGAAGACCAAACAGCCAAGCCACAGTGGGGGGCTTAGGTGGGCCTAAGGCTAGTGGAAGTGAAAGAGAGGCACTTCGACCAGCAGAGAATTCTCAGACCACCGAGGTTTGTAGGAAAGGTCTTTATTGGATCGGGGGGAGGGAGGCTGCAGAGCAGCACCAAGGAGGAGAGAAAAGAGGGGAGAGAGATAAGGAGAGAGTGGGGAAGAGAAGAGAGAGAGTAACGTAGAGAAGAATGAGGGGGAAGTGAGGGAAAAGAGAGAGAGAGCAGAGGAGGAAGGCAGAGAGAGATGGGAAAGAGAGAGAAAGAAGGCGGGGGCACATATTATGTAGGGAAGATTTAGAATGGTGACGGGCTGGTGGGATAACCAATAAGGAGTTATTCTTCCAGTGGAAAGAGCCATTAGGAGCGGGCAGCGGGAAATTGGAACAGGGTGATGAGGTAAGCAGGCCACTCCCTGTGCTAGGGAGGAGTTGTAACTTTAAGGGTAGGAAGGGTTTTTAGGGGGAAGGGACTTTCTGAGGCAATAACCTAACAGGAAGCACATAGATCTGAGAACACTGAGAAAAGGCGAGGACATTGAAAAACATTAGAAGCAACCAAAAATAGATCCTGGCATAAAGAGGGAAAAACACATTTTCTCCTCTTGCTAGTTGTATTAGAGAAGAGAAAGAGTCAGTAAACAGTTTGACAACTGATGAGGAAACCTTGAGGGAAAAGCACATTGTTCCTCACATAGTCATTACCCAATACATGTTTAGAGCACAAATACCCAATACATGTTTACATGTTTAGAGCACATGTATTGGGGGGGAGAATCATGTTAGTAATGAAGTATAGATACAATCAAACTAGCTAGTCATATTTGTTTGCCCCTATAAAGAAACAAGACATGAAAGTAGATAGCAATGCACCCATATTACAATCCCAGTAGACCCCTCCTGAACAAAATCTATAAGATCTTATTCTGGACCTTCCTCAGCAGTCTAAGTTTAGTCAGCTGGAAGGCTGGCTAATTACCGACCTGATAGACTTCTCCAACCAAAATACATGCCTCAAAGTGGAAATCCGTGATTTACCATAAAAACAGACCCCAGTGCCCAGTGTTCTATGGTTTTGCAGAGAAGTTGACTCCATTTCTTTATGTATATTATTATTAGCAATACATCTTGATTATCTTCCCTTCCATAAGACAAATTAGCCATTGAATAAGACATTACTATTGCTGTTCAAGAATTTCTCTAGCCAAGAGCTTCTTGGAATTTAGGCGATTGCTCAGTGCTGTTTTGTCCTGATGATTGTGACAAATATTTTTCTTAGAAAGAAGAACACCACCTTCCTATTTTCTAAAGCCTCACTATTCTTCAACCATCAAGCCTCAGGCACCCTTCATTACCACGATAATGACCACATCAGCTCAGTAAAGAGGGAAGTGATTCTTCACATCTGTACATAAGGGAGTCAGTGTCTCATGCATCAGCTGTGCTGCTGAGCTGTGCTCCCATCCAGGTGATTGGGAAAGCTATCTGGTAAGTTTTAAAAAGTCACAAGATGCTAACCAAGCTATTTTTTTCTTTTTTTAACCAAAAAGAGAAGCTTATTTTTCTGTGTTTTAATTACACACATGCTATTCTTTAGAAAGAACCACAAAATATACAAGGATTCCTGAATAAAGAGTCAACCTTTCCCTGGTTAAGAATTCAGTATTAACAGTCATACAAAATATGTAAACTTGTCATGAATTGCAAAAAACAGAGCTCAGTCCAGTCAGTAACAATATGCAAACGATTCTTAAACACATTTGGATAATTTACATCCGGGGCTTTCCCCAAGGAATAAGAATGTCCAGTTTACACAATAATAATTGACAAATATTTCCAGTTACTTATTTATAAAAAGCTTTTCAATTAACATAAGAATTTAACATGAAAATCAAGACTTAATTTATTTTTATATTTATTAAAATAATCTTATAAAATTCAACATACTACATATCTTTTTTCCTGATGTTTAAAAAATCTAAAAATATTTATATGAGAACTTTTCAAATAAATGGATTTACCTACCAAGACCCAACTCTCTCCTGTGTACTGGTTTCTATTTTTGGCCAACTCTTCAATAAATTCTTATCAGGGATCCTAACATTTAAAATCACTAAGAACATTGCTACTTTAAAAATATATATATATGATGAATCAATGCCTGTAGCACAGTGGTTACAGCACCAGGCACAAACACCAAGGCTGGCAGGTTCAAACCCAGCCCTGGCCAGCTAAACAACAATGATAACTGCAACAACAACAACAACAACAACAACAACAACAAAATAGCTGGGTGTGTGGCAGGCACCTGTAGTCCCAGCTACTGAGAAGATGAGGCAAGAGAATAGTTTAAGCCCAAAAGTTTGAAGTTGCTTTCAGCTGTGATGCCATAGCACTCTACCAAGGGCAACATAATGACACTGTCTCAAAAAAAATTTTTTTAATTAAATTAAATAGATAGATAAATAGATAGATAGATAGATATACACACACACATATATATATGATGACATCATCCTAATCCTGGATAGACTTCATCTCTGATAATTAATTTTGAACCTCTCAGTTTAGAATATTTTTAAAATTCATGTCTTATCCTGACCAGGAGCTGAGCTGTTGTGCTACATTTCTCTAACACTCCAATGCTGTTTCCCTACACATAGTTTAGAACCTAGAGTTTTGTGTCCTTTGCAGAATAGGCTTTTGCTAACAGTCCAGCGTTCATATTCTGGCTCCTCCACTTAGTAGCTATATGACATTGGGAAGTTTTTCAGTTTGCCTGGGTCTCAGATTCATTACAGATACATTGGCACTAACAATAATCTTTTCCTTCAAGATATGCAAAGATTTAATAAGATAATATGTGCAATGAGTTAGCATGGTGCCTGGTATGTACATCATGGTTAGGACCTAAGATTTTTAGGACCTTTATTTTATTAAAGGCTCCTTTGAAGATGAGCCCTAGTTCCACTGTTTCTTCTCCCTAGGATATAAGGTTTACGAATGTGAGGCCTGGATCCAACTTACTGACCACGGCATCCCCAGCCTTAGCAAATGCCTTGGCATTGTGTTAAATATATATTTGCTGAATGGATGAATGGGTGACTGCATGAATGAATGAAAAAGGTAAGCTTATGCAATACCTAAGAAGGCCACCAGCAAAACTCTGTCCTTGGGTATAGATGCAAAGGTAGAGAGGCAAGGAGACTTACAAGCGACATCCTGAGCCCCAACCCACCTCAGTTTTGACCCTACCTGTCCCCAGTGTGAAGTCCTCAGTGCAGACTTCTTTAGAAATAGGTTTAAGAAAGTCAGGTCTTTAGATACTTGGAATATGTAAACTTATGATAAAAGGACAGAAAACTGAAGTTTGGTGCTAAAGAAAGCATTTTGGCAAGTATCAGAAGCAAAAACCACAGAGTAACTAGAAGCGAAAATAATGCCATACTCATATTTCCTCAGAAATCACAAAGATATACCCAGATAGAGCACGGGAAAGGGCGTGACTCATATATCTGTCTCATCTATTACACCTATCCGGAGCTAGGCAGAGCATTTCCAAATGTACACAAGGCCGATATTACACATTAATTTAAACTAAAGGATGCAATGTCTGGTTTTGATTCCCATGACTCAAGGAAATCTTTTCCTAGTCACCAGAGGAAAACCTAAAATCTACTGATACTTCATTAGGGCAAAGGTGAATAAAGAAGACAAAATACAGAGGGTCAGAAAAGAAGAGAGAGTGAAAGGATCAGAAGAACCTTCATAATACATGTAGAGAACTTTTATCATTTTACATGCTCCGTTTTGCATCTTATCCTTAGGAAGTGTTTAGAGGGTATATTAATATGGAGAGCATGATGACAACAGAAAAAATGACAGAAAAAGGGCCACTGAAGGTGAAGAAAATAACATAAAAAGGGGAAGAAGAAGATGGGAAGAGAACCAAAAGAAAGAATGCATGGAAGGAAGGACAGAGGAGACTGGTGAAATGGGGTAGCTAGTGAACTATGTGTAGATAGTGTGTGGTGTGTGACAGACAAGAGAGATTGAAGTGGAAATGTGTAAACTGGAGCTTGGAAAGAAGAGGATGGAGAAACAATTGAAGGCTACAGAAAAGCAAGGGCAATTGTGGGAAGGATTTAGAGTTTGTTAATTGGCCTCACTCTTTCAAAGACTTCTCCATACCACATCTTGCATCACCCTGTTGCTCTTTAAATTTTGCTAACTGAGGAAATCTAATTTGTTTATTGTATCTAATTTATTTCCCCTTAATCCATCTATTCATTCTTCAGATGCTTTCTTGGAAGCAGTAAATCATTTAATAAGGATAAGCCCATAAAACACCATGTGGCCTTAGACTTTAAGGTAGATTAAAATACAACCCAAGATTTAAGAATGAGAAAACAAATTTAGCAGAAACGTGGCAGTTAGCCCAGCAGTGTACCAGCCTCATTACACGTTTTCTGAAAAGTGACCACAGTTTAAGTATAAATAATAGAAAAGGGAGGCTGTGTTGCCCTTATTTGGGAAAACGGTTATACTCTGGTGACTCAGGGAGTTGCCTGTTCTGCGGGAAGCAAATTCAGGTCACATCTAGTAAATACATAGCCTGTCATTGATTCACATGGTCACAACTCTTGAAGGGTGTCACAAAGACAGAGCTCAACAAATGTCCACATTTGTTATTTCCTGGCCTCCCCCATGCTCAGATCAGGGTCAGGTGACTCATGCTAGCCAAAGAAATATGAGAGGAAGAAGCAGTTAAAAGCTAAGGTATCTCTTTTATCTCACCTTTATCCTGTACTATCTGTGCTTAGTCTAGGACCATGGCTACATGATGGAGAAGGTCATCATGAATGTGACATGAGCAAAACATAAATAAAAATAAAGAAAGAAACCTGTACTGTGTTTATGCCGCTAAGATTTCACGGTTGTTTGTAACTGCATTATGGAGTTGGGCATCTGGGCCAGCATCAGTGAAAAAAGGGAACCAAAGAATTACAACGATCATTCTCTGCTTTCTGGTAGTTAAGAATACTAAAAATCATGAATTTCTACCTGCTCATAGATTTACAGAGGTATAAAGGTGCAATTCTGTTAAGGAAAGAAATAGCAAATTATATTTAGGTTGCTCTTTCAGGACTCTGTAAATATTCAATGAGGTATTTTTAAGCAAGTATTTTGATTCATAAACACTATTTACTTTTCTTGGCTTCACATAACAGTAAAATTTCATTGAAAAATTACTTAGCAGAAAATGTATAATTTGTTTTATTTTAATCAAAATATTTCTTGGATCATTCATTTTCATGGCTATTCCTCCCACTTAAATCTCATTTTGGAAGAATATTTTTTTCGATAATTTGTTATAACAATCACTTGAGATTAAAATATTAACAGAATCCAGACAGAATTTATAAGCAAACACAAAGCACAGGCAATATGAGCTCTAAAATATACACTGGAGAAACTTTACAATATAGACTTGCCTGTGCTTTAACCCAGGGGATCATGCTAAGACCCTGGCCTACATTTTCCTGTAGTGGACCCCCCCAGAAAAAGTTTTTAGAAGATAATTTCAGGCTCATAAAGATTTATTAATAGACAAAGCCAACCTGTATGGAAATATTAATATCAGACTTATAAATGGAGAAAACAAGAGACCATCAAAGAGTGGCCAGAGGCTTCAAAGAGTCTCCCTACAACCTGTCACGGCACCTAAAATCCTATCATTAGTGTTTTTCCCTTTAACTCTTGAAGGGTTTTGTTTCTCTGAGGTCTCTCAGTCATAAAATGCAGATATCCCCTAGAATGGAAAATATCCAGAGGTCCTTCCTAAATACTTATAAGAAGGATGACTCTAACAGAAAAGGACAGGCAAGGGAAAACCATACTGAGGAGCAGGGGACTCAGTTGAATGGTGTGAGTATGGAGATAATAAAATCACGGCCTAAAATAAAAGGTAGCAGATGACCAACTGCTTACTAAATTAGAATATCTTTTCTGAACACCTACTACCTCCAAGACATTGTGCCAGGCACTATGCAAGGTGCAGAAATACATCAGGCAGAATGAATGTCTTCATGAAGTTTAGAGTCTAGTATGGAGCCAGAAAATGAATGGGTGTTAGATCCAGGGAGCTAATAAAAGCGTAGCCTATGTTCCTCCTCAGCTTGTCTGGTAGGGGTCCAGGGAGCTCAAGGTCACTCAAGTGAAGGGCACTATGAGATTGAAGGGTGTGAGATCTAGAGAAGAGGAAGCAAGGATGAAATGAATGATGAACCTATAAAGCCATTCTCTTCTTGGTAAAAATTTCTACTCTTTAGCGTGAGAAGAGATTACAGGCTTTGATGCCTGGAGTATTTTATGCCCTTCCACCAAATAAAAAGAAACATAAATTGGATCTCAGATAATTAGTTTGTTACATTGCTTTTTGGTTTTGAGATTTTTGTTTGTTTGTCTTTTTAAAACACTTACCATCAAACCTTGCAAGTCTGCTAATATCTGCTCCAAGTTCTGAGGTAACTGATAGTGCATGGCGGACTTTAAGGTTCGTTTCACTGTGAAATTAATGACACGACATGAATTTTTATGTGAACCAGCCTAGCAGCTTCTTATCAAAGTGATCAGCAGCATTAGCAAAACCCAGTTCAAGAGATCTAAGAAATCTTCCTTTGAATGACATTCACACTTCTTACACTGTCTGGAGAAAGTGGGAGGGGTGTCTCAATCTCCTAAGAGTTGGCATTGCACCCACCACACATCTGTATAACAACACAGTAATCTGTTTTGCAGTTTGAAAGAACAGAGGACATAAATATGGTTTCATTTGAACCCACTCAGACATCATGCATGAGTTACAAAACACATTAGGAGTAGGAACACAGTGGCCAAATGGAGGAAGCCAATATCACTCCAGAGTGCACTATCTACATAGGAGTTTCACTTGCAGAAGATGGTCATGGCTAATTTCACAGTAGCTCAAATTGAAATGGGAAAAGGAATACAGCTTTCTTTTTCTTTGAAAATCAATCCAAGAAACCCATAAGTCTAGGACAGACAACCAGACAAGCTCAGCAGGCCCAAGTGAGCTGGTCATAGTCTCATAGGTAGGACCACACATCAATTGGACAGATGGCTGGTGATAAAATGGCCAGCAGTGAAGATTCTATGGCCTTTCATCTACCGTAGCTTAAGGTCATCTGTTCAAAGTTCTCTCTTTCATGGAAACATTTAATATTGGGTTTATTCATTCCTGTGATACTTTGCTAAGAAGAACATTTTCCAGTTCCATCCATGTAAACATGAAGGAGGTAAAGTCTTCGTTTTTCTTTAGGGCTGCATAGTATCCCATGGTGTACATATACCACAGTTTATTGATCCATTCGTAGATTGATGGGCACTTGAAAGTATCACAGGAATGGAAGAAAAAGTATCCAATGTACACAGCCCTTTTATGAAACTAATTTATAGCTCTCAAATGAAAGATACATCTTAATTCTAGCCCAAAATTAGGGGGAGGGGGTGGGAAAGGGGAGGGGAGAAGGGCGGCTGGGTGGTGGGAGGGTGACCGGAAAGATCACCTATATATCTGTCTAACAAGGGTATAAGTGAACTTTTCTAGAACTAGAATATAAATGTTTTGACACAATGACTATGCAAATAACATGAAATTTATGTGAACCAGCTTGATGAAAGTATTTCAAAATATATATGAAAACACTAAAAAATATATATATATTGGGTTTATTCAGCCAACAAATTGAGTACATACCATAGTCACCCAAGATACTCAATGCTACCCTAGAGAATTATTGTCCTCTTGAGGGAAGCAAGTGGTAAGTAAAAAATCAAATATCACTATGTGGCATTACATGCCAGCCCATTAAATAACAGACTTTAGAGAGCCAACAAGCAGATACCCAAGAGAGCCGTCTACAAATGAGTTTCACAATGGTGTAGGAAAATATGAATCTAATTCAAGGAATACCCACTGGTAAAATAGCTTTCTTCAGGAAACACTAAGTTAGAAGTATAATTAAGTTAGCTTGTTTAAAAGTAATCTTATTAACCAAAATCTGCCAATTCCTAGGAGGCAGAGATGAGTAGGATTGCAAAGGTCGAGAAGGTGAGGCAGAAACTGAGCTGGGGCTTGATGAACAAGACTGAAATAAGTGGATATAGAGGCTACAGGACCAACATGTACATCCAATTAAGCAACTGTCCAGATAATCAAAACGGTCAATCACACAATCTAGTTTTTAATGCTTCTCCAAAGTGTTGAAATGATGTCATTCATCAGAGTTCAGCATCATTTTGATTACTTCCTCAGGATTCTCTCTGATGTCTCACTTCTACCTTCTAACGTGAAAACTAAAAGGGTAAGAAGAGTCACATACGCTTCACTGATACTTAATAAAATATTTTTTAAGACTCCTGATTAATGCCTTTGGTGTCATGCCACACTCTTCCTTAATCTGCCTAAGTTTCTCGATAAACTTCTAAGTGATATTCAGCAAAAGAAACAATACAAAAAGATCCTGTGTACTCTTTACTCAGTTTCTCCTAACAGTAATATCTTGAAAATGTGTAATACAATATTACAACCAGGATATTGAAATGACACGAGATTTCCATCACCACAAGGGCAACTTGCCCTTTGTAGTCACACCATTTTACCACCTGGCAATCAGAAATCTGTTCTCCCCTTCTATAATTTTGCTTGTTTAAGAGTATCTTATAAATGGAATCATATAGTACATGACTTTGGGATTAGCTATGCCATATAATTCTCTGAAGATTTATCTAAATTGTTCTTTATATCAATAGATCATTCTTTTTAGTAGCTAAGTAATAGATATGGATGTTCCACGACCACTTAATTCAACCATCCATTTGTTGAAGGATATCGAAGTTGCTTTCAGTTTGGGAATGTTATAAATAAAGATTCCATAATATTCGTGTATAGGTCTTTGCATAAATGTAAGTCTTCATAGCTCTAAAATAAATGGGAGTGAAATTGCTGAGTTGTATGGTAGTTGCATGTCTAGCATTAGTCATTAAGAAACTGCCAAACTGTTTTCCAGAGTGACTGTAGCACTCTTTACACTTCCACCACAAATGTATGAATTATCCTGTTTCTCTACAACCTTGCCAGCATTTGGAGGTGTCACTAATTTTTATTTCACAGTATAAAAATAGGTCTGCATTATGATAGTTCTGCATTGTAGTTTTTATTTTGATTTTCCTAATGGCTAATAAAGTTGTTGACCACCTTTTCATGTTTTTATTTGTCATCTGTATATCCTCTTTGGTGAAATATCTTTTTATGTCATTTGCCCACTTTCTAATTGGATTTTCTTTTTTTACTGCTGAATTTTGAGAGTTTTTAAAATATATTTAAGATATAAGTCCTTTCTCAACTAGATGGTTTGATGATATTTTCTTCTGGTCTGTAGCTTACCCTTACAACCTCTTAGCAAGGCCTTTTACAGAACAAAAAATTTTAATTTCATAAAGTCCAGTTTATCACATTTTCTTTGTATCAATCATGCCTTTTTGGGTCAAGTCTAAGAACTCTTTGACTAGCTCCAGATCTCAAAGATTTTCTATTTTTTCTACAAGTTTTATGTTTTACATCTGAATTCAATTTTTTAATAGTTATAGGGCTATTCAAATTAACTGTTTCATATTGAGTTTATAGTTTATTTTTTTGAGAAAATGATCCATTTCATCTAAGGCATCTACAGTGTTTGCAAAGTATGTTTATTATGCTTCGAATGCCTTCAGGATCTAAAGTGAATTCCCCTGGTTCATTCATGATATTGCTAATTTGTGTCTTCTCCCTTTATTTCTTTGTCCATCTTCCTAGAAGTTTGTCAAATGTATTGATATTTCCAAAGAACTAGCTCTGTAATGTTGGTTTTCTTTATTGTTTTTCTGTGTTTTCAATTTTACTGACGTTAACTCTTTATCATCTCCTTATATCTGCCTGCTTTGGGTTTATTTCGCTATTTTTTAGGTTCTTAGGATGGAAGATTGGATGATTGATTTGCAACTTTTTCTCAAGTGTATGCCCTTAGTACTATAAATTTTTCTCTCAGCATTGTTTTAGCTGCGTCAGAAACTGTTCTGCTCAAACCAGGGTTAGGATCACACAGCCTGAACTCTATTCAAATAGCTCAATATGGCAATGATTTAGGGGACACACTGGTTAAAACCCTGGGCTCTGGTATCAGACTGTAGGTTTCAGTCATAGCTTCACTCTTAGATGTTCTGAATAAATTATTTAGCCTTTCTAAGCCTTGGTTTCATTGTTTATACAATAGGACAATATAGTGCCTACATCAGGATTAAAGGAAAAAAAATCTATCTATAAAACACACATATCTAGCTTCTTTAAAAGCATTCAATGAATGGTTTTATGCCAGACAGACAAATTAAATCCTCTGAAACAGAACTACTAGATGGCATATAACTAAGTTCTAAATTAATATCAATGTTAAAACTGAATCATGTTCTGTTTCTCTCTTCTGTCTCTGTGTCATTCGACACGATTTCAAAATGTTGCCTTTTAAAGTAGTATCAGTCCTTCCTTCAGGGAATCTTGACCTCTACCTCTCTCATTTTCCTTAGGAAAATCACTTGAAATTAAAACTAATAAGAAAACAAAAACTTCTAAGGAATCTCAGTGGAATCCCTATGTAAAATTATTCACATATACATGTTTACCTCACTATTTCAGAAAGAAAAATAAATTCAAGATAAAAGATAGAGAAAAGACAGCTTTCATCATTATTGCAAAGTAATTAACAACGCATTTTCCAATTTAGACTCCTATATCTTCCAAAGACAATAACAAATAATGTTTAGGTTCTATTTCTAAGACACTACTTTTAAATAAATTACAAACCAACCTGATTAATTATTTTAATTTTAATAACTTACCCATCAAGCTCGGCAGTTTCAATATAACAGAGACCATGCGGCTCACTGCTTGATAGGAGAAGCAAATCAGCCTATTTGTAAAAATCATAACAAAAGAACACGTGAGAAGGGAAGGTTGGTTGAAAGTCTTCTATGCTCTATCACCTCTCCTCTACTAATGACACAATAGAGCCTCAGAAATGAAGTAAAAGAAGTGAGCTCTTATTGTACCCCCGTATCATACACCTGTACCTACTTTATGTGCCCCGGCCGTCACAACATAAACAAGGGAAGAGGATACCATATAGATAGTTAGCCACTTGATGTACCTTTTTTGAAGTATATAAATGCTATTTTCATGCTTTGATAATTACTAATGGAAAAAATAAAACTTTCATTAAATAACTGGAAATACTTATATGCACAAGCTTTAATTACCTGGTGCAATCCATTAAGAACAGGAAGCAGGAAAAAGACATCAGGAAAAGACAGAAGGAAAACAGAAAGAGGAAACTGAAAAAAAAAATAGAAAAAAATCAGAGAAGCAAGGAGGTAAAAAAGAGAGAGAAATTAAAAGAAAAGCAAAATAAAAATGATAAGAAAAAGAAAAAGATGGGGAATGAAGAAGGGGAGCAATAAGATGCCATGAGGGCTACACAAGAGACCAAGATGGACTCAAATATGTGGTAAAAGATGATGAAAACAATTCAGAGACTGAACAGTTTAATTTTTTTCAGAGACAAATAGTTCTATTCTGTTGTCCTTTTGAGCTTTGGAAACCACCTATCACAATTCAGCTTTAGAATTCTGGTAGGTTTCCATATTGGGAAACTGTTTATCTATTTTATTTCAAACTTCTAATTTTATTTGAAAATATATGTTTTTATTAAATTCCTCTGAAGAATGTGTTTAAAAAGAGTTAAATTTTAGCAATTTTATTTTGAGACATTAGCCTAACAATTTTCTAGCTATGTCTGAATGTATAATTGGCACTCCAAACATGTGGAATTTTCTTACCCTGTTTTTTAAAATACTAGAATTGCTTCATTCTCGGGCCTAGAGATTAAATTTAGAATCAACCCATTTACTGCATTGTCTCAAGCTTTTAAACTTCTAACTCAAAAATAGGCTGTGCCTGTTTGTGTGTGTGTACAGTTTTGTCTAAATTGGGATAAAACAAAGCTGGAAAAAAACTCACTGACAGCCCCTAAAGGAATTTGCATTATCAAGGCTCTTCAGCAAATCTAAATGAAAACAGAAGCTTGTCAAGGCAGCAATTTTCTGAATTGTCACTCTGAGAACAGAACAAACCCATAAGAAGGACACATCAAATGTGCATGAGACTCGAGAGCCAAAAATTACTCATCTTGATTTTTTTTTAATTTCATATTGTGAGGGTAAAAACAATTAGATTACAATTTTGCATTTGTTAGGTAGAGTCCCTACTGTACTTGCGTCCCACATCCAAAAGGGGTGCCATATACCCTTATATTGTGGCCATTAACTGAGACCACATCAATCCTCCTCCCTCGTCCCTCCTTCTCCTCCCTTCATCCCTGTCCTCTCTCCTTTTTTCCCTCTCTCCTCATCTTGAATTGAATTGAGAATTACTCCTATGGGGATGTGTATTATTAGTTCATCTAGTGGCTTCACATTAGTATTGCGTACATTCAATACTCGTTTTTCCAGTCTCATGATAAAGAAGAATGTATTTCAACTCCATCCAGATTAATACAAAAGATGTAAAGTCTCCATTTTTTTTAATAGCTGAATAGTATTCCATGGTTTACATATACCATAGTTTATTAATCCATTCATGGGTTCATGGGCACTTAGGATGTTTCCACAGCTCGGTGATTGTGAATTGAGCTGCAATAAACAATCTGGTGCACACGTCCTTACGGTAAAAGGATTTTTTTCTTCTGGGTAGATGCCCAGTAATGCGATTTCAGGATCAAATGGAAGATGTTTTTTTGTTTCTGTTTTTGTTTTTGGGTTTTGTTTTTTGTTTTTTTAGTTCTTTGAGGATTCTCCATACTTCCTTCCAAAGAGGCTATATTAGTTTGCAGTTCCACCAACAGTGTAAAAGGGTTCCCCTTTCTCCTCTTCCATGCCAGCATCTGCAACTTTGGAACTTTGTGATGTGAGCTATTCTCACTGGGGTTAAGTGATATCCAGAGTGGTTTTGATTTGCATTTCTCTGATGATCAGGGATGATGAGCATTTTTTCATATGTTTGTTAGCCATTCATCTGTCTTCCCCAGAGAAGATTCTGTTTATGTCTCTTGCCCAGTGATCGATGGGATTGTTTGCTCTTTTTTATTGTTGTTGTTCATTAATTTGACTTCATCTTGATTTTAAGGGGAAAAAGTTTTTGAAAATTCATGTTGATCTTGTTCCCCATATTTAAATTTCTATGCAGAAAGGCATAAGTCACCACAGCAATAGACTTAAATGCTGTTTAGGCCTATGCCTTTCCTCCCCTGAGCTTAAAAAGCTCATTTTAAACAAAATCCTGAATTCCCTAACTCTGATCTGTGTGACTGAAAATAGTTATGACATACTGAGAAAGATACCTGTTTGTACCTAGGGTTGCTTTCCTTGGAAACTGCACAGTAAAAATGATCCACTGTTACTGTCTAGTACTGTGCTTAGCTGCGTTGAGTTTACTCACACTGTGCTAACAAGGGATGGAGTCATCCACCGCTGCCTCAGAGCATGTGACCGAGGCACCACCGCCATCTGGTGGCTGTTCATCTCCTGAGCAATGACCCAACTTCTCCCAGGCCAACCTCAGTGAGTTCTAGGCTAAAAGAACTCCTCCCAGCCACCCAAAGCCCTGAGACCCCTACTTTCCTACCTTCTGCCTTTCTCACTTCCTTCCATCTCTTCCATTGCCAACTTTTTCTCTGATGACCTCTGAAACTTCCTCCTGTTTTCCCACTCCTTTACCTGTGTCATGCCCTCCTCTCATCCATCCTCCCTTCTCCCTCCCCTACTGCTGAGCCTTGCTATTCCCTTTTGCTAACTTGGTTGTTAAATTCATTGCTATTAAACGGGGGGGGGGGGATGTGAAGGGACGGGACCAGCTGAATAAGTGGTCACGTACTCATCATCATGCAAGCAGCCCTCCTCTTTTCTAGTGCTGCTAGAAATATTACTGCACTCAGTAATAGTTCTGAAAAGGAAAGGCCAAGAGAGCTGAGTTACAACCCTGCTAAGTCCCTCATCATCCTTTTGCCAGAGGCACCAAGCCAAGAGCACAGCAACATGTAGGTCTCAGGATTCACCCACCCCATACCTCTGTGAGCCTCAGAGCAGACCTCCTTCAGCTGACTCCTCTGGTAAATCTCAGGGAACCCAGTTCCTAGTTGACCCAGAAACTTGTATTCCAGTGATCAGTGTTTATGACACCAGTAGCTGATATTTAGGGAGGGTTTCCTATGTGTCCTACTATCTTAAGAGCTTTATCTGGGATATTTTATTTAATTCTCACAGAAATCTCTCAGTGAGTTTTATCATTGTCCCCACTTTACAGATGAGCAAAATAAGGCCCAGAGAGTTTCAGTAACTTGCTCAAGGCACACAGTTAGTAAGCAAGGGAATCAATATTTGAATCCAGGATGTCTGAGCCATATACTACAGGGGATACTATTATAAAATGAGTAAAAGCTCCCTTGCCTCAAGGATTTTATAATCTAGTAAAGCCACACTATGATAAGGGTCTTATTAACAAAGGGAAAATGAGAGAGAGAGAACATTGGGCTTGTAGCTGAGGAAGGGCATCATGGAAGATCCTGGATTCAGTGAAAGGCAGGCAGAGGTACTAGGAGGAGTAAAGAAGAGGAAAAGGGCAGTGCCTGTGGCTCAAAGGAGTAGGGCGCCAGACCCATATGCCGGAGGTGGCGGGTTCAAACCCAGCCCCGGCCAAAAACTGCAAAAAAAAAAAAGAAGAGGAAAGGTAGGCCAGGCAAACAGCTGTTCATTCCAACCAATAGGAGTCCACAGACCGCTATTTTTACTTTCTTCTGTCAATTCTTGGTGCCATTTCCCCTTGCTCTGCCAGGAACAGCTCAGCTATGTCTCCCACAAGGGAGGCAAAGTTTACCAACACAACACTCCTCCCCACCCCCACTTCCACAGGCCCCAGAAAGCCCAAGCAGCTGCTTCAGGGAGAACCAAAGCGAAGAATCCACTAAACTTCTTCAAGTCTCAGAGCCAAAGACATTTTCCTTATAGGTTTATTGGGCATAATTTATGTTTACTGAGTTACCAAAAAACAAAAAGGCAAAACCTCAAGTGATGATAACACCTTAAAGCTATACAATTCTTTAAGGATTTACAAAACACTCATAATTGTGTCATTTTATTCTCTCAGCAACACTGTAAGTGATAGTGTTCCAGTGGAACAAATGAGGAACATGAAGAGATGATATCTAGCCCACCAGTGAGGACCACACCCACCAAATCAACTAAAATTAACTAAACTCGTGTGAAATCTGTGGGCTGTCCAAAGTCACAGTGAGAGTGTCGTCACCTCTAATGGGGGAACCCAAGACTCTAAGAGATCTAACATCAAATTCATGGACACACACTTTAGACTCCATAGCTAGAACTAGACTTCAGAACTTCAAATCCCAAAGGTACGCAGTTTCCTCTGGGAAGCCACTAATCGCTGAACTTCAACTACGAAAAACAGAAAGTGTTTTGCATCGTTTTGTTTTGCTTTGTGGGGGTTCAAAAACCAAAACTACAATGGTGAAAGAATATTGGGATGGCAGCTCCATAGCCCGATGGAAAGATAAATTTTTAGAGTTAATTCAAACACTTGGATCTCCTTATATTTTTTTAAACCATGCCAACACACAGAGTTTTTCATCTGCTTTATTGTCTACAATACTATCTTCTTTTTCAGTCCAAAAATAAAAATCCAAAATAGCTCATGAATTGAGTAAAATATCAGAATGAAATTCTAAAAATGAAAAGTCTACCAGGTTATTGGCAACATGTTTTTAAATTCACATTTCAGACCCAACAAATGCATGTTCATTATCTACTAATATGTACTGGCTTTGATTTTTCTAATTGAATT